TGGTACCTGGAAATCTCACTAATTAACACACTTGTCACTGTTACACTTCAGTTCATTGTATTAAACAAATTAAGTCTACAGTGTCGATGTTGTTACTTTTGTATGGAGCTAGGCTTCGCCCTACATCCAGTCTTTATGCTATGCTAAGACAAGTCAAGCGCTGATGTAAGATTTCCATTACATGATTATCGGGGACAAAATAATTCACAGTAATGATACTATTGCAATATCTATAGAAAATGAATGATACAAGTCAGTTTCATCTTTTACTTTTATTGTGTGTTTTGTCTTTTTTGGCAAATGAATTACACTAAAAATATGAGTGTAGGGAGGCGGAGAGAGAGGCTGTAACCTTAATTGTAGCAGTTACACTGAGTGTGAACCACAAAGCCAGAACAGCAAGAAACAGAACTGATCTAAGAGGCCCCCTTATTATTTCGAAAGTATTATCATATGTGTATTTTTAACATATCAATAATATATATTTAAAATATCTCAGGTATTATTAACACCGGTATATAGTGACTGGAGAGTGGTATCCATCTTCTCCTCTAACTCTCAGGAAGAAAGCAATTATGCAGATTTCACAAAATGTTGAACTGTTTTACCAGAAGTTTGGTTGCATCATATATATGCAGGTGTGCCCTGGTAGCTCACCGGGCTGAGCCCGCATGTACTGAGGCTGTGTGTGATTTAAAAAAAAAAACAGTTTCAAATGTATCCATAATTATAACATTATTGATGCCCGTTAGTCACAAAAGAGGTAGTTAGCAATGTTTAATTATTTAATGTACGGTATTTTATTTCTGAGAACTATTTGTTTAGTAGTTTTTCTTTCTTTCTTTCAATTCTTCTGGTTTTGTACATTGTGAGAAGGTGTCATGTGTTGGATGGGATTTTATAATATCAGGTTATGCGATGTGTGTGTGTGTGTGTGTGTGTGTGTGTGTGGGTGTGTGTATGTGTGTGTGTATGTGTTAATACCACAGGATGAGTATAATAGCCTCTGTTTTGATTAAGCTACTGAAGATCCTAATAAATGAAATGAAATGGAAAATGATGAAATGTCACTGAGAAAGACCCATGCCTTCCCTGTAAATGACTTTGAATTCACACTATATTCACACTGGCAGTGGCATTTAGGAGCAGCTTGTAATTTAGATATTTCTTTCTCTCTCACAGTTACATCACTTTAATTAGCCTTACTTGCCCCTCATATTGGAAAAGCAGAATTCTGTCCAACAAATAAATCAATACTTGTAACACTTCATTTGTCCCGTTATGTAGTTTGTTTGTGACGTCAACACCTGGCATTTGCTAACTCTCTCTGTTATACAAGACCCACACATTCATACACACACACACACACACACACACACACACACACACACACACACACACACACACACACACACACACACACACACACACGCACACACACAGCCATAATGGAGCAATTATCCTCTCCAGCTCCGATCTGCTGCTCTGATTGTAATTTGCATTTATTATTAGCCTTCAGCCTGCCAGAGGCTGTGAGGCGTGGGGATGGATGGTCATACACCACATCACACTGACAGACCTGCACAGATGCTTCATAAACACGTGTGCCTGAGGACACAGTAACATGTACACCAATGTGCCACATATACATACAAAGACCCCACAAGCCACGTACAGGCACTGAAAATGAAGTCATTATGACAGCAGGATGTTGCTTCATTTTGTTATTGCTGATCCCTCGTAATGATGCAACAGTGGGAGCAGTATGTTCACTGGTGTTCCATCACAGAAATACATTCTTGACACTCCACATTGTGATGTCCTGAAGGACTGTGTCTTCTTGTCCCCTTTTCTCAGTCTGTGCTCTCTTTTGCTGTCAAGATGGCCTCAGGGCTCATCATATGGAAATTTGTGAAGAGCAGAGTCTCTGAAGGCACATACAGTACATGCAACCCGCCAGCACACTAATAGATGTGCATGCTGGTGCTCTCTCTCTCTCTCACACACACACACACACACACACATACACACACACACACACACACACACACACACACACTCAAGCTCATACATGCCCACAAAGAGGACGTGCAGAGGATCACCGAAGTGTGAAATGATTCTGTTATCATGTCGTCTGTGTGGAATATATTTCACCATCAACCTTCTATGGCAGGTGTGTCTGATGGACTGCTGCCGTGTGTCCATGTGTGTTTGTGTGTGTGTGTGTGTATTGAGGGTCTGTCTATGTATTGTTGGGCAGGGGGAGTTGGGGGGTGAGCAAACATAAAAACAGGGTGACAATGTCAGAGCATTTGCAGCTTATGTTTCATATTGGTGCTTGACATTTGACACCGGGAGACTTATTTTCTAAATTACTGTAAATCAGATCTTACATGACTGTTGTGTCCAGAAACATGATTCACATAAAGGAAAGTCAATATGTCCATTTCTAAATATTAATGAACAGGCTCTTAAAGGCCTTGAAAACCAATTTTCTAAAGCAGTTTTGGTTAGGAATGAAGATTTTGCAAGAGATTTATGTATTTTTTGTTTTTTGTTTGTGCTCTTTTTACCGGTCTGGAGTGGGCGGGGCTTAATTGGAAAAATGTGATGTCACTTATTAATATTTCCGTGAACCAATCAGAGTAGTAACATTTGAATTCAAATATGATGATGGCTGATTGAACCACAACTTTTAAAAAATACTAGTAACTTCCCCCCAAAACTTTAACTGTAATGGTTTAGTGATGAATATTTAATGTTATAGAGACATGCTAACGACTGAAAACCAGGGGCTTTAATAACATATAATACAACTGTCCCCCTTTTGCCTCTTCAGTAGCTTTCAGATTGGAAAAGTAATTTCTTTCCATATCATTTGAGCTTGTTCCATCTCTTCACTGAAGCTCTATGACGTTTACACTTATTGAAATATTCAAATCCAAGAGTCCATATAGATAGAGCATATTTTTTTACTCATTTCCTCCAAATTCAGCCTGACATAATTGGTGTCTTTAGAAACGGGGCTCTCCACTAGAATTTAAATTAAAGTTCTATGGGATTAAACAATGCCCGGCTGCACAGCATGAGTGTGTTATGACTGAGCCACCAGTATAGGTTCACAGTGTTAACATTAACAATACCTCAGTCTATGTGTTGAATGGAAAACATGTCTGTGACCAATAAAACCCAGACTGGGCTTGCTTATCGCTGCTTTCTGTTGTCCTGTTTATTTGTTTAACCTCTTTGAATTGGGCACCTGTGATGCTGCAGGAAATTAATGGGCATTTATTTTGGCAGGAAAAAGCATTACATGAGCAACAATTAACAAATGCAACATGTTCACAACTAATTGCCAGACTTCAGGGGTCAATAACCTCTGGGACCATGTGCTCTCTGGAGAGTCCCCCCCCCCCATTTCCGTTTTAAAATATACATACAGGAATTTGTCTTGATGATACCGCATTTAACATTTAACATTGCATGCTGTTAAGTGAACATCAAACATAGATTTAGTTGAAATAGTGCAGTGTACAATATATGACAGTCATTAGTCATATATAGAATTTAACAAACTGCACAAGAAACACAATATATTGTGAGGAATTGTTTTGGTAGTCATAGAGGTGGACTATCCAAAAGACAGTAGATTTGTAGAATGCCTTTATTATCATAAGCTGTACAGACAAGAGGTACAACTGTTTTGATGTGCAATTCCCATCTATTAGTTTGGTTTCATAACAAACATCCACACTTCATGTAAATGTAATCTAAAAGATTAAGAATTCGATCTATGAGAAACTGACTTGTGAATGTTGTCCATGTCTATCTCTTTGATGGGTTTCTTCTGCTTGTGCAGCGACAAGGCAAACTTTTCTCAGACTGATTGCCTCCTCTTCACTTTTTACACTCATGAAAACACACACAGTCTATGCAGAAGCAGGCACATGTGCACACTCACTAAAAACACACATGCACATGGTTCAGTGGCATGTCTGTGTGCATGAGAAGGATCCCAAGGGAGCTGCACTGCTTAATTAATGTGTTCCTGTGTGTGTGTGTGTGTGAGAGAGAGAGAGAGAGAGAGAGAGAGAGAGAGAGAGAGAGAGAGAGAGAGAGAGAGACCGTAGGAGGTGAAGTGAAGGCTTGCACATTTAACAGTCCAAACTAAACAATGCTTCAAGCTCAAGCAGCAAGTGAACAAGCCTGTCACTCATGTGCTAATTTAGGCTCTTAGGAAGTCTGAGTCTTCAGCCTGTCAGTCTGAACGTTCATGTCTTCCTGAGATTATAAGACAACCGTGAAACAATACAGCCAAGTGCTGAGGAAACCTGAACTCATTAACCACACACACAACATCTCAATCCTCACACACACACACACACACACACACACACACACACACACACACACACACACAGATTCAAGACTGAGGGCAGCTCTTTCGATGTATGCGCAGCTAATGTAGCAGTTACAGCTACTTATTGGATGAAATATGGCTGACATGGAGGGTGGACAGAAACAGCTAGGCTTTGTGGGAGAGGGCCCAGGGGAAGAAGCATTCAAAATCTCTTATTTCTGAGCTTCAGTACTGCAAACATGACTCTTTGTGGATTCAAATGCATTTATAGGGGCTTTTTTATTTCACAAATGAAGCAGCCAAACAGCTTTGCATTTCTGTTGCAAACTGAGGGGAGCAGAATTAAGGTTAGTAGCATTTGGTGATGTTTCAACAGATAATAAGACATTATATGTATGACAAAACATTTCATAACACCTGTATATAATGGGCTAATTAAACGTTTAACAACCCACACAATGGACAGAAACACATAATTACCTATTCTAAATTACCACTTTTATCAGCTACCATGGTCTCCATACTCTAAAAGTCAGGGGACAAAATGTATCTCTCTGGTCAGCATATTTTTTATAATTGCAAAATTTCCAGCAGCACTTGAAGGTAGCACTGGTTGAGTTGCTCCGTTGCTATGGTTACGATTGTTTGCCTCCCATGTTGAGTCGCAACCATCGTCTGTCGCACTAAAAGTAACTTTCCTTTTTAGCTTCCTATAAAAAGAGACAACATTATTCAGGAAAGTTAGAGAATTTCCAAAATCTTTACCCGACGTTGCAGTCTCTTTATCTTCCTCCATGAGCAGGTGAGCGACGTGTAGCTGTCCAACATTAACATTAGCTAGGTTACGTTAACGTAAGTTCACAAGACAGGTCATTATGCAGTGTTAGCATCCTGCTCATTTAAGCTTGTAACGTTAATAGTCAGTAACAACAAAACACTTTGTGGCGTAGTTATTTACGTTACCAATGTTGTTTCAGCAGGTTACTAACCTTATATAAATTGTGGACCTACGCTCTTATGCACAACTACTGAGAGCCTACTGTTTTGGAAAGTTAGCATTTCATAATCCATATGTATTAATGCGCAGGCAATAACAGAGCCTTAAATAAAGTTACATGATTTCACTGCTGTCTTTGGATGTCCAGGTTAGAGTGTTTGGGGAAATCCTTCACTGGTTCACAGAAACAGGTAAACACTAACAAAGTCAACTGTGGTTTGTTTTAGTTGTTTTAATGTAGCTAAATGTTTATTCATGGGTTACATTGTTATTTAATATTTAGTCTTACCTTTTTTGCAGTTATAATGCTGGTTGCTTCGAGTAGGCCACACATTGTCCATGCTTGTGCATTGCTACTTTACATCTCCTGATAATAGGCAGCTGCAAATATGGCTTGACCCCAAAAGAATTCTAACAAAAGGTTTCTCAGTGGTATACAGTAGTATCAGATGTACTAAAAGTTTACCAAAGTTTGACTCCAAGAAAGGCCCCATTTTGAAAATGGCGGCCGTTTGGTCCTTAAAATGACCATTACTCCTTTGTATTCCTCCTAGACCAGGAATACTGGTGCCTGATACATGTTTTGGCCATGTAATATTCTAATCAGCACATTTGCATGATAGATAAGTGATTACAAGTACAATTATATATTAAAGCAATTGGTTACAAGCATATTTATGCGAAAAATAAGTAAAATTTCCCTTAAGTAGTTGCATATTTCTCCTTTCTCATATCGTTTTGCCTAGTGCTGGTGGTTTCTGTGGTTCATAACCAGTCTTGATTCCAACAAAGAATAAATTCATAAGAACTGTGTGGTACTGTAAAATAAGTCAAAACAGGGCTGCCACGTGAAGGCTCAGTACCACTTACTTTACCATTATTTTTTATACTTTTTTGCACTGTGACCTTCACTAGATTTACCATTAGTTGTCACACTCTTCCTCCCATAGAGGTTGATTATAGTGATTCTCACAATTCCCAACTTGACATGGTCCACAAGCAGGCATACATGGTAGTTCATATGCCCTGCAACTGCACCGTTGTGTTCGGCAGGCAGTTGTGCAATTACAGTGGATCATCTGCAGGAGGCTTTCTGGTCATAACTGGTAGGAACCGGTTGTCCACCAGTTTCCATCCCCAATCCACTGTGTCATGTCACCTTCCTTTCCAGTCCACACCATGATCTGGAAGTAAACTCTTTGGCAGTGGTATTTGGTTGAGGACTCAGTTGGGGGCAGACGTTCTGGGGTAACAAGTGATTCGGCTGTAATGATTTTCTTGCTAAAAAGGTTGTAGCGCAAAGTGAATCGGTACTCTTTCGGCCAACAACACTGCCATTGCCTTGGTCCCATGGTCTTCTATGACATTCCTTGCTTGATGTGGGAGCAGAAACACATTTGCACAGGACTGGATGGTTGATTCACCATTCACAAGTTTCTGGAATGCTGTCTGTTTGCCAACACTAAAAATGCAACTAGCAACTAGGAACACAAGTCACTAGCCAGGACTTGTTTCATCCCACTGATGTACACTTTAGTAGCTTTGGACTGATTGATAAGTCCTTGTTTGTTGCAAGATATGGAAAGGAAATCATCTTTTCTTCCCACAAACTCAGTCTCTGCATTGAAGTTAACGATGGGGTCACTGTTTTCACCATGTCTCTGATGCGTATTGTCTTTGATGGAAGGACATTCGCTATAACCATCAAAAACGACTGTTGCTTTACCATAATGGCATATGGTAAAGTCTGCATATGACTGTGCAATGGCACTGTAACTGTCATCCTTTTTCCATGCCAAGCAGTGAACCAGGGAGCCACTGTCAAGGACATAATGCTCAGTTGGTGGGATGGAATCCAGGACAGTTTTGTTAGATTTCTTGCTTGAGAACTCAGTGACTGCCTGCGCTAGTTGGGACTTGTTGGCTTTATGGATGATTTCCTTGCCTTCGAACAGGGCTACAGGAAATGAGCAGAGCTCATGACTCATTACATCTTTCAGTAAAAACTGTCCAGTTTTCCATAAGCAATAACTTTTACATTGAATGTCAAGTCTGTGTTTTAGCAAAAAAAAGGGTATGTGTCCAAAAACAGGAGTAGGAGTTACATGACATAGGCTAAATCGTTTACATCTCTGGTTCACCCCAAACAAAGATAAAACCTTACAGTAATCTCACAAAATCATGTATTCCATCAATATGTAATCTTGTCAGTGCAATTTAGAGTTCTTCATCTTGAAAATTACACCTTTCTAGTGGTCAAACTTTGGTAAACTTTTAGTATGTTATTAAGGACACCTAATACTACAAAAAACAGCTGAGAAACCTTTTGTTAGAATTTTTTTAGGGTTATGTGTTTTTTTTTTTTTTTATATATGCAGCCGCCTATAAACACTGTATGAATATTACAATCATATTGATCTCTCTACCTGGGCATAGTTGGCAGAAGGAGCCATGCCTGCACATGCTGAGACACTCAAACCCAATGGTAAGAAGCAATTCAGACTTCACATCAGTGTACAAAACATATTTTTTTACTTCTGAGACATAAGATTTCACTTGAGTTCCACTTTGTGCTTATGCTGCTCTCCAGACAAAGTGAAGAAAAAGACAGTCACTGATAAATCTCGGTAAGAAAAGTCATGTCTTAGCAAATATAAATTTTCATCACGACATGCCATGCTCTACCAGCATTTTTATTCTTTTATTTACTTTTTGTATCCAGCCGAAGTCTTCCTGCCCGTGCACCGCCTCATTCTGTACAGGTAAGTATCCTGAGATAGACTATACCAAGCCTGCATTGACAGAAACATGTTGTACCTCACTACTGTACTTTAATTCTTTATCATTCATGTGGTTTCTTGACAGGAGACTCTAAAGTCTGGGTGTCCAAGAGGGGATATGCTGAATACAGATGGTAGGGTGAAAACTAATCTCATCAGTTCTGTTTCACAACAACAAAACTCCACAGTTCAGTACCACATAGTTCCCAGTCTTTTATAATGTTTTCAGCAGATATTTAATGACACATATAATTATAAATATAAATATAAGTGTTTATAGAGAACTCACAGAATTTGCTTTACACAGACTTTAACAATTATACAGGGGTAAATCCACTTTTGATCAGAGATAACAATTTCTCCACTGAAATCAGCCTCAAAAGACCAGAATGCATTGCAACCCTCAAACATATTATTTTCTTTTTTGTATTGCAGTTGCTGTTAATCACTCTCCACAAGTACATATAAATGTGTGTATGCTTGTTAAATGTGTCCAGTGTCAAGTCATTGTGGGAAATGTAGTAAGTGTAGGGGAAAATTCTTCCATAACCTGGAGAGGTGCTAGTTCTCTGAAGAATTACAAACCCAGTGTGATGAATCAAATTCCTTTACTCATGCAGCATGGAGGAAAGACCACAGCATAGACGTTCCCTCTAGACTTCTATAATGCTTTGCTTTTTATACCCAACACATCATTCAACAGGACACAGCTGTTGTCCTATCTAAATTACACATGGGCAGTTTAGGTCTTTAACAATGGTCCTCTGAGTTGACCCGACTCTGACCAACTGTTGACCAGTCATTTGCTACCATAAAACACAACCCCCTAACCGACCGTATACATTAACTCCCCCACCTAAAACATTCATCTACCACATAAGTCACAAACAAAGTCACTAACTGTGACAGAATACTCTTTATGTAAGTTCCTCTTTAATCGTGTGAGCATTTGGTTTTATTTACACTTATTCTCCAGCTGCATTAGTGTTATTTTATAATCTTGAGTTGCTCTTGAGTCATTAATTCTCATAATTGTCATCATTTACAGTTAGTTTGTTTTGTTTACAACCTCATATCAACGGACAGTTCCAGCTTGCTCTGTTCACATATGATTAACATTAAATACTTTAGCCTATTTTTCTGTCTGAATGAAATTTCTTGTATGTCTGATTCTCCTGCAGAGTGCTCACCAAAGGAATCAATCAACATAACACCAAGGTCTGTACTTGGAATTCACATAGTAGGCGATGAGACAAATTAAATATCACCAACACACAGTTTTAAATCTTCAATGTGATTTCAGGGTTGAAGAAGAAGCACAGTCGACTGCGGTGCCTGATGACAAGCTGAAAATGACAGACCTGAGGAAAGCACAGACCCCAGGCTCAGCAGTAACAGGTAGGTTGATGTAGAACAATGCAAAAATCATGCAAAGAAAGAAACACAGAGGGAAGAATCTTGGAGAGTTTTGTAGAAAATGATGATGATCACGACAATGTTAATGGTTGCCAGGAGGAACGACACATGCTCCCCCAGCAGTTGTACCTCTTCCCACGCATGAGGCGATTGGTGACGAAGTACAGACTGAGGTAGAAGATGCTGAGGAGGAAGACCTTAAGGCACCAGTGGAGCTGATAATGGAGGTACATATCATCATCAATAATTCCACACTTCAAGCTCTGTTGAGAAAATGTTACACTTTAAACTCAGATTCACAAAATACTTTTCATACTTTTAGTCAAAGTTCTACTTTGGGTCAGTTTGGACAAACTGTACTTGAGAAACTAGTGTTGAAATGAGGATGTATGGTTTCAGTTCCTCAGAGCTGTGATGGACAGAGACTCTCAGCTGGCCAGCAGACTGTGTCAGATGAGTACGTATCCTGCATCCATCAACTGTGTGTCTGTCAGTCAATAAATCAGCCACCGGTGTGGTCAGCCAATGGTTCTCTTCTCTCCTCGTTCCAGTTCTCATCTATGAACCAGACAATCCTGAGGCCTCTGAGTTTCTCCCGTTGATCCAGAAGAAGCTGTTGGAGGGTGAGATTCCCCCGGCTTTTTATACAAACACAAACACTTATTTCAAAACACACCATGAGTTTGTGTTGTGCTTTTTTTCCATTAGAACAAGAGGAAGAGCAGAGCACTGAGGAAGATGAAGAACAAGAAGAGGATGAGGACGAGGAGCATGATGGCGATGATGATGGCAATGACTCCAGTGACTCTGAAAGTGATGAGGAGAAATCTCAGAGCTCAAGCTGCTCCTCTTCGTCTTGTTCCTCTTCTTCACTATCAGATGATGATGAGGAGGAGGAAGACAAGCGAGTGAACAGACACAAGCCGTGTCCTCCTTCTCACATTTGACCCTAAATCTAATGCACCAATCCAGCAGTCACTTTAGATTCTAATACAGGATTGTATTTATTTTAATCCACAAAGCTACTTTGTACAGTCAGTCTTTTTCATATTTCACCTGCAAATAAAACATTTATTGTTGACAAAGCCGAGGCCTTTATTTCCTGGAAACATAAACTCATAAACTTGGGAATACAAAGTCATTAAAAATGTAACTGTAATTGTAAACTTCAGCTGATATAAATCCAATGAGAAGAAAATGTAAAGATTCAGATGCAGGAATTCACTTTACCAGTCAATAATTAGTACTGCAAATTAATTTATTATTAAATGTATCATTAACAAACCTACACTTTAGATGGAACAGTACCAGTGAAGAGCTTTTTACTAATGAGGGTGCATTGTTTAGCTGACAATTAAGCATGTTTTTCTGTGATACTCTGCTCTATGTGCACACTGTATCATCACTTTCAAGGTTACACACACATAGGCAGTTAATTCATATAGTGGAATGCTATCAGCCACTATATTCTGAGTTATTATAACATGGCAGAGCTTATGTTTATGAGTCGTCTCTACGCGTGACTTGTGAGAGGAAAACGCACGAGCGCCATCTGATAAAGGCTGTATAATTTGCAGTGAGTGAATGAACATAATGGCCGCTCTCTGTCCATTCAGTGAACCAGGACACAGGCATGAGGATGACAGTGAGGACACTAAGTCAACGCCCGCCAGCCTGGATTCACTTTGATGTCCCAGTGTTATTGTCCATGTCAAGGTTGTAAAAAGGGTGCAGGTCAAAAATTATGAAGCATGCAGTGTTGTCATCTCATGAAGGTGAATATTACTGTCAGTATTTGTATGGATGGATGGATAATGGACGGTGCATGGCCGCTCTCTCCATCACTTGGTGCTTTTATTAGAATTGTCTTTATTCTGGGCTAAACAACCCAATTGACACAGTCCACAGGTCCACTGAAACCGATCAATGATTTCTAGATGTATATCAGTTGTTACTAAACCCATAAACCAACTGTGTTTGTCTTCCCAAGGTCAATTTCTATGTAACCCACTCTAAACACAAATCACATTCAAGTCTCCATCCTCCATCCTGTGACACCCACCTGGAGACACACACACACACACACACACACACACACACAGAGAAAGAGGGGTGGGTATACGTCACTGGTGTTTTTCCCTTTGCTTTTTAGGCTTCTTAAAGTGGATTGTGGCTGTCAGTAGCACTCAGGGAAGCTTCATTAGTCGTCAGAGGGAGGCAAGGCTGTGACTCATGCCTGCGTGAAGAGACCAATGGGCAGCCGGAGCCTCAGATATAAATAACGAATAAAAAAATAATCTTAAGAGAGAAAGGGTCACTTGCGCGCCGCTGGATGGGATTTTATTAGTGCGCTCTGTTGGTATTCCGCCATAGCCTCCACTGGACTGTTGCTTGTCGAGCCTTTGGGTGGTAATTGTAACATCTAGTAATAGTTTCTCTGGACTCGACAACCTGTGCGCCTGTGAACCGGTAAGATGTCTCCGCCTTTCATTTCAGCGGCGCCCTTGATATACTGATAGGCTTCATATTCCTTCATAGACAGACAGGTCTCATTCAGAGATCATAACGTCGGAGTTATTTTGGATTTTATAAATGATTGTAACAAACTAAAATCTGTTATAATTCGCTTATTCGCAACCGAGTGCCAGATGAGTGACAGAAGGAATTCATTAGTTGTTGAGTCTGTCTCTCATACCACGATGACATTGAGTGATATTCCCGTTCAAAGCACAACTTAATTGAAATGTCGATTGCTGACTCAATAAGTGAATGACGTAGCTTATTTATGTGGACATTATAGTTACAATTCATCAACATTTGTTTAATAAATCAGTCTTCAGTGTTTAAAAGCAGCTTTTATCGAGTTATGTCATGTATTCAATTAATTCTCCTTATGTGTCTTCTTAACTGTGGCAGGCTGAATGTGTCTCTCTTCATTCTCTTTCATATTGTTTGTATTCTTTAGAAATATCCGTGCTGTGGATGAGCACAGACATAAAGCTCTAAACGGTCTGGTGCCGCTCTGCCCAACACTGAAAATGATCATTTTGTTCCAACGAGCTATTATCTATTTCTTGTACGTCCCTGATAACAACTTCATTTCATCTTTAACGTTGTCTCTGTGTTGTGGACATTAACGTCAGACACAGTGTCCCTGAGAGTATTTAATGGCTAATTGAATGCAAGAAATATTGAAGGCTATCTCCAAAACGAATGGACCCATTATGTTATCACCAAAACCATTTATCCTGGTGTGCGTATTTTCTTGTGCGTCGTGCGCAATTCTCTCCAAATTGCGCGACTTGATTCATAGCCCACCCTGCTATCCTCCGGGAATAAATTGTTCCTGGCGACGCGCAGTGGATAAATCAATTCCTGATCAAATCCTGGCCTAGCCATTAAACTGAAGAAATATACATTATAGGTGTGAACTGGATAAGATGGTCTGGCCTCTTCTAACCGTGGACCGTTTTGTTTGCAGCTGAATTATTTCCCAGCTGGAGATCAGATTTCAGAGGACTGATGGCCACGTCTGAACCGAGAGCCACCGGCGGGGACCCGGACCCCAACTCGGACAATTTAAGACCTCCGTCCACAAGTACGTTCTCACACTCTTCTCCCTGTTAATAACACCATGATCCACTATCGATCCCCGAGGATAAAGCGTTCAGGCTGTGCCTACAGAAACAGCCCACTGGAGCTGACAGAGACTCGGTGCCTTGCTCAAAGACACTTATGCAGTGCGATCTATTGCCAACACGAAGGCTTAGACCCATTCACCCCCCACACACCTCTGTCTCTGCCTCTGTCTGGCTCTCTCTCCCCTCCTTCTCTGTCTGATAAAAGCGAGTCTCGCCCGGGCCATTTGCTGTGTGGGCTCCGTCGTTAATCATTCCGGTTAAAAACAGAGCCATCACAGCTGCCTGTCGCTGCCCGGCGGAGCAGCGGTGCGCACCGAGGACGGGACCTGGCGTACAAATAGGCTAATGCGACATTAAGGCTTTGGTATTTATAATGAGCCCTGAGTATTTAGCGATAACATATTTGAATAAATATGCATTTCCGATATAGAATCCTGATGGAAATATTTCCCCATATTTTCTTGCAATAACGCTTTCGCTGTCTGGGTTTTTAATCGCAATTTCTACACATCATTTCAAAAAGCAGACCATTTTTATTTATGATTATTTATTTTTGTCACAATTAATCTTATCTTGTTTCCCAGGAAGCTTCAGGCCCTCCGGGCTGATGAGTTGCTCTTGGAGAAATATGCAGAAACATTGCTGCTATTTTATTTTTTTAAGAGTCGGAACCTATTAAGTATACATTAACCTATGGGTTAATTAATCATTTGAAGCTTTTGTCGCATACACATAGTCCACCCTATTATAGTGCACTTGAGCAGCCATCTGCAGTGCAACGCGGGGAAATAATTATAGGTTTTTGTCTTCAGCTAAATGTAAAAGGAAATAAGCTACAGTTCCTGAGGACCAGTGTTCAATTCACGTTCATATTTTCTCTCTTTATCGAATAAAATATTTTGGAATCTTTTATCTGTGGCCCTTGGGTGTCAATAAACATTTCTGCAAAAAAGTCTTAGACTTATTTCAAATGTGAATTTGTACCGAGGAAAGCCCATTAAAAAGACGATGTTTGTTTTGTCTGACTTGCTGGTATACTGCTGCTGGATGTTGCCATTATCTCTCTGACACGCTCCATCTCACGCGCCTGACGGCCTGTAGTGTCTTGTGTGTGTGTGTGTGTGTGTGTGTGTGTGTGTGTGTGTGTGCCTTGGCCTCAGCACCTCGGGCTGTTCTCTCCGAATGAAATTGCCTCAGTAAATTTAAATACTTGTTTTTGTTTTGAAACTTTTCCATCAGGTATATCCGCCGCCTCGCTGTTGCTCTGCTGCCGCGCGCTCTGCATTTTATTCCCTCTGGCTTCTGCTCCATCTCTGCTCACGCATGTCCACGCTCGGGTTTGTGTGTAGTTCTGTGAGTGTGTATGCATGATGTGTATGTATGTGTGAGACGCACTATACTATAAGTTTCTGCATCAAGCCGGCCATAGACTTCCCGGCCACAGACATTACCAGCTCGCTCCAGTCACATACTGTGTTTCACTCAATTAATTTCTGCCCTCCTCCGTGAGCTCATTTCACGGGCGTTAACTCCAGCCCGCCCCTTGGCTGGGTGTGTGAGCCGGCGTGGATGTGCCGGGCCACTGTCGGTGCCTATTGATTGAACTTAAATCGGAAATGTTATAAGACTCATCCCCCTTACGGTCAATGGATGCTGTGGTAAATAAAGAAAGGTGGATAAATCCACGGCCAGCAAAGGCAAACAGAGACAACACTGAGCCAAACTGCTCAGATACAAATTGTTTAAGGCTTTTAAAAAAATTAAAAAAAACCCTGAAAATACCAAAGAGAATTCAGAATCACACACCCGGCCAAGAGTCGTCCGCATCCCGCTTCCACATGCTCACTGTGCTCCACCAGCTTTATATCCATCATCCGCCCATCCACGCTGTCTCCGAGGCCTGAAACTCAAACGTTCATTCTGTTTTAGCCTACGAATACGCGTGGATGCACGGATGCACACGGAAACTGGGGATGAAGATTTGTGGTAAGTTTTGGGCACATAAAATGTTCCACATTCTTTGAACATGCCATATTTATAGCCACGTTTTTGACATCTTAAAAAAAATGCTGTTTGGGAAGGAGATATGAATGTATGGTGACATGTCTCCATAATATTCCACTGGGGATGTGCGTTTTTGCTTTTATTCCCTAAAATTTCCATCATAGGGTGTCTGTTTTTTAAAATACAACTTAACCTGTTTGGAGGCCTGAAATAGGCCATGATAAAGGCTGTTAGAGCAGGGACATCCACGACTGTCACAGTGTGTTTCCATCTTCTAAAGGTCAATGGACATTAGCCTGTAGGTCTGATGATGAGAACCCCGGATCACCCCCCCCCGACAGCCCCTGAACCCACCATGTCTTTTCCATTTCACCACTGAAAGAAAAAAATCCTCGAGACAGGCCTGGAAACAGAACAACCTGTAAATCATTTTCCATTTAGATAGTTCTTTGAAATAGCGAATGTGAGGTTTCAGGGAAGGCGTGTTTATTTCTCCATCATTGCGTTTCTTGAAGTGACTCAAAAAATAAAATGTGTTTTTCTTGCAGCAACGGGAAATGAATGCCATGTAGATATGACCCATTTAAACGGGATATTATTGATTTTTTTTTGTAGCATTAATCAATTAAGACCAAAGGATCGAATAAGTTTGATATTTGTATTACCAAAAATGAGAAACCGATCAACAGATTTGTTTAAATGGCATTTTGACTGGAATGGAAAATGACTGGAAATATTTCTATATGGGAGCAGTCAGATGATCTCTCATATTGATTTTGAATATGTAATTTAGGATTTAATGAGCAAGTTTCCATCTAAAAATATAAGCGACAGTATTTTATATGATTACAGATAACAAGGGTGCGTGACTTCCACGTGTTTTGCGCACAATTAGGCCCACACATTATCCTGTAGTTATAGAGGGCCTATATGCAGAGGACTGATCACCCATGAAAACATATAGCTAGGTTCTGCAGGACCAGAATGCTTCAGGGCTCTGGCACTCCTTCATTAGCCCTCTTTACAGGGTGTGTCTTTATTGGTTGTCTGTCACCGCGGGCTGCTCATGCCCACTGAACCGGTCAGTCTGTGGACTGGGTGCTTCTGGGTGTTTCCTGACTGGGGTGTGATTGTGATGTCAGAGGGTGGGGCGTGTACCCCCCTCACACACATACTGGTGGTTCCTCTCGCGTGTGTTTGTGTGTGTGTGTGTGTGTACACATATTAGGTCTATATAGGGTTGGCCTACACCAAAAAGGAAGGAATTCAGATTATCAGGAGCTGACTTTAGCAACACAGATATTTTTCAAACGCGGCTCTAATATTTATAAACTAAATAACTCTCAGTGTTTGGGCATTCATTTTGTATTTTCTTGAATTTTTAATTTTTTTTTTCGTTTTAGTCCCATAATTTGGTCTATTTCCGTGTGTGTGTGTGTGTGTGTGTGTGATGGAGATGTTTGGTGATAACTCCTGCCCTCCGCCGTGTAACACCCTAGGGTTCCTGCAGAAGAACAACAGCCTGGACGAGAAAGGGAGGCTCGCGGGCCAGAAGAACCTGCTCTCGTGCGACAACAGTGACAGGGACGCGCGCTTCCGCCTCACCGAGACCGACTTCTCCAACCTGTTCGCCAGAGGTGAGAACTGCACGTGCGCTCATTCAGCCACACACATCCACGTAAAAATAAGACACTGTTAATTTCTCGTAGCATTGAGGTGCTTTACTGCACGCTACGGTCACATTAATCTCGGGCTCATTACTTCATTAAATCGACTGTTGGGCCTTAAAGCTGTCAAAAAGCCTGACAGACAGCCAGAAAAGCATGTCTTCAGTTTAAGTTTTCACTCGATAAAGTAGACTACAATATTAGCCTTGTTACACCCAATGAAAGGCAGCTTACAGAGGACGACGGCTAAAGGTAGAGGCGTAGCGTTAATTATATCGAGAATGAGAACCAGAGGCTGGGGGTTGGTTAAAGAGTCAAAAACGTATGTTGGGTTGGACTATTAATTGGACTATTACAAAAACAATTAAAACAGTAACTCGTGAAATTAACGTTATTCTAATGTTGTTATTTTTGTAAGATGTGCAGTGTTACCAATAAAGACGTCGGGAAAATGGATACGTTTCTCAGACAAAATGTATGACGCGGTTAGTAAAAATATATTAAGCTAGGCTAGAAGGCCTATTTTAAAAGTAAATGTTGAGTTATTCGACCAGAATAATAAATATTACACACACACAGGTCACCAACAGAAAAACGGTAAGAAATACTAAGTCTAATTTGGGCTTAAAATAATGACTAAAGCTTTCTAAAGGCTACTCATTAACATGCTCAGACGGGCTCACGGGGCTTGTAGCTCTAGGCCTAATATTTATCTCCTACGGTAAATTTCCACTACCTTTCTCCTTAACTTTTAGACTTGCTGCCAGCCAAAAATGGAGAGGAGCCTACCATACAGTTTTTGTTGGAGATGGTCGACATCCTCACCAACTACGTCAAGAAGACTTTCGACCGCTCCACCAAGGTGCTGGACTTCCACCACCCCCACCAGCTCCTGGAGGGCATGGAGGGCTTCAACCTGGAGCTGTCCGACCAGCCCGAGTCCCTGGAGCAGATCCTGGTAGACTGCAGGGACACGCTCAAATATGGCGTCCGGACAGGTAGGCCGGGGCACCTTCAAGGTTGAACTGTACTATAGAGCTGTATGTCCGGGTGCACTTAGTTTGAGTCTGAATATGACTGAAAAATCTGAGGCCTTTTGAATAATTCAGATGGTGGGGTAGGTTATTTCCAGTAGAAAAAGGACACTGAAAGACAATTAACCCACAAAGCATACTATAATATTAGAGGTTGAAATGTACCTTACAGTCATTCTGGTAATGGTATCTCCAATATTATTCTATTAATATGAAGATATTCAGTATATATTCCGAAAAACACGTCAGTTTTATCACTTCCATGTAAATCAATACTGACAATTTCACTATGCAGAGGAGAATTCAACACAAACCATTAGAGAAGAAGCTGTTTGCTTGATAGTGTACAGCCTATTACGATGACTGCCGTATTTACTGTCCCCCTGATAATATAGTTGACATCCACCTTTTCTTTTCCCTCGACTTATTAAAGCAAGTGTTGCCTGAGGGGATCCTAACACGGGCTGTTTCAAGCTGTTAAAAACGACAACGCTCAAACTGTCCCGTGGGTTTCATATATCATGCAGGGTCTACTGTGTCTACAACTCCACACCACTTTTCACCCGGTGACATGGACGTTTTTTGTGCTTTTCAAAACATTTCTAGGGCTCAATGTCCCACTGGAGGAGCTGTCCACAGTGCTGAAATATAAAGCAGATTTTTCTCTCCTCTCGCTGTTAAGCAGCACTGTCAGTTTGTTTAATGTACCCACAATATTAGATTAATTTTTCATATTTGATATTTTTATTCCGAAGTAACTTAACATGGCTCACATATTAATTATGTGAGCCATATAGCGGCGCCTTTATAAGGTGCTTATATCCATGATTGCATTTAGTCTCCAGGCCTGTTGATGGTAACTGTGTGTGCAAGCACCTTAGAGTCTAAATGGCTGTCTTGTTACCAATGTAATTATGGTACACTGAACAGTGCTATGTCAGATCCCTGAGGGTTCATGGCTGACCAGGGGAGTACAAAATGAAATCTGAATGACTGTGAACAGTGAAATAAAATACTGTTTCTTTATGTTTCTTTTCTTTACATTTTTTCACAATCAGTTGTAGGAAGTCAGCTTCAGCCTGCAGGACATTGTAGTCATTATATGCCTTCATTATGTACACAGGATAAAGCAGGCATGTTAGAGGCTGCCTTCCTTACTGCTTTCTCTTTATATAAAGCATGATCCCTTCATAGAGGCAGTGAAGCCCTTTTAGTAGGAATGCCATTAAGATAGTTTGTGTGTGTTGTTTTATGTTTAGGTCACCCACGATTCTTCAACCAGTTGTCTTCTGGTCTGGACATCATCGGTCTAGCCGGAGAGTGGCTCACCTCCACAGCTAACACCAACATGTAAGTGATACGGTATGCTGCTCGGTTTGCTTGTTCATGACACACATATTATCTATAGGGAAACCCCCCTGTGTGTCATGGCAGGACAACTGAGATTTCCTGTTTGTAGGCCACTGGAATTAGCCCCCAGTCATTATCATATATAGTCATGGTGGAAGTGCTTATGTTGTTCCTCTCTCACTCCATATTTGGTCACACCAGCCTCCGAGGGCAGTTATATAAAGTGTTTGGTTTGTCCTGTTGAGGCTGTGTATTGACAGACGGCAGGTTGCCACTGTCCTGTACTGTATATCGAAGGCAGCCCAGCCCCAGGGATGGTTAGATTGCATATTGATCTCAGGTCACAGTTACATGGTGGCCCAGTCTGATAGAGGGCATGAACCTTTTCAGCATCACACACTCTCATCACAGTTAAACACACACACACAAACTCACATGCTGTAAATAAGCTGTAAATCTGTGTTATGTTCACTGAAATAGAAGGAGGAACATCAAACTAATACTACTGTACAATATCAGAACATTGAATACAGACATGCGCACACACAGAGTTGAACACAGACAAGCAAATTTTTGCTGAAAGTGAACCAGCCTAATATTTACAGCTCTGTCAATTCATTCTAAATCTACCATTTTAAGTTTATTTATTCACTGCAAAAAATACAGATTCCTTAAAAATTTGAATTGATTGCCATGAGCACAATGGAAATATACAAACAGAATGTCACAGCCATATTTAGAGTGATAGGACTGCTTTTAAGAGCTCACCAGAGAAGAAAATGTACAGCACTTTTATGTATGACAATTATTCACTTTATCATTTAATCTGCCAATTACTTTCTCAAGTAACTTTAATCAATCATTTGGTCTATAAAATGTCAAAAAACAATGAAAACTGGCCATCACACTCTCATCCAATGTCTCGTTTTGTCTGACAGTCCAAAACCTAAAAATACTGAATTTAGTATCATATAAGACAAAGAGAAGCAGCAAATCCTCATGATTTAGAAGCTTGTAATAGAGAAGGTTTGTAATTTTTGCCTGAAGAAATGAACAATTAATCAATTAATTGAAGTATTGTTTCAGGTCTACTCTTAAGTGTGAGAGAGAAAAAAGACACAACAATCACAGAGCTTCAGACAGAAGGCAAAGACGATTCTAACTGCTTTTTTAAAGCAGATTCAGTCACTTAAATGACTGAACAAATCAAGAGTGTGCCTCGGTGACACTGATGTAGAGAAATTTTGGCATCTTAGTTTCATGGTACAAACTGACATATAGCTGCAGAGACAGCAGGACCTGTACAGTGCAAAAAGACAAGTAGTGGGCAGAGGACAATATACTCCACTCTTAGATACAAATTGATCATTCAGTATTCTCTAACTATTGTGGCCTTTATCCTTTCTCCTACACTGGCTGCTGAAGAAAAGATCGATGTACGGATAATAAACCAAAAGGAAAATTGAGACACTTAATTTATCCAGTTTCTCAAAACATTAGCTTAGGAAACCACCCCTCTTAGGAAAAACTTTCCCATCTCATCTCCCGGTTGGAAGAATGCCCCAAGAGACAGGGCCATTGAATTCACACACTCGTGCACACTTTCATAATGACACACAGACGCACGCGCACACACACACACCAGCTCTGGCTGTCCCAGATACAGCAGCTAGGGTTTCCAGTCCATTGACTGCAGGCTCATTGAGAGCTGGTCTTAGCAGATAGGCCAGCTGGGCCCCACACTGACACACAATGTCCTGCGGCTGCACAGAAAACCCTGTCACACAGTGGAAACTGGCTGCTGCTGCTCCCTGCGGAGTGCTCATTCCGGCTCTATTGTCCCTGTGGATACAGACTGACTCACTGCTCCTTTGAGGGGCTGAGAGGAGAGTGTGGTTGGGGGTCAGAGGGTTAGTCATATAGAGACACACGCACACACACACACATTCAAAGGCAGACTCACACACACTGAGTGCCCTTGATGACGATAATAAGGGCATTTAGGGGCTGTCCCTGGAGACAGGCAGGTGACTGAAGGGTAATTTTCACCCTGAAAAGACCAATGATTGGCTCTGATTGTGATAATGATCACCATTATTGTCATTACAGCGTGAAATGACTCACAGAGAGGAGAATTTTAAAAAGGTGCACTTGTTTTGTCCCTTTCTGCTGTGGTTGGGATACATTTTTGGAAGAAATGAAAATGATACATCCAGGAAATTAGTTTTTTCTATTACTATTATTTAGTATAATTATTATTATTATTATCCATATGCACAATAAACCAAAGAAGACCATATTTCTTAGATTAGGCCAGTTAGAGGCTGCAAAAAGAGATTTTGTCTTGTCTGTGATTTTATCCTTTGTTGTCACTGTTCATAGTCGAAGCCCAGCAGTCACAATCTGGTCTGGTGTATTGACTAGAAGCTAATGTTGTAATCAAATCCATCCTCTGGGTTACATGAGAAAATGTCTTCTCTATTTCTTCGTCCCATTTTTCTGTTTTTAATTTAATTGCTATCTATCCTTGACCATGGCTTTAACTCTTTTCTCTTTTCTCTCCTGTTTTCTGACACTTCTTTTTGCCTTGTCCTGTTTCTTCTCTGCACACTTTCCTTGCTCTGCTTCCATATTATCCCCTCCTCTTCCTTTGTTGTCCTCTGTCACAGTTTCCTTCAGTGCATTGTTTCCCTACAGCCCCCTCTCCTCTCAGCCTTTATCTCTCCTCCACTACCCAAGCTACAAAAAGCTTCAGTCCTCGTTTAGATAGCTACTTGTGCAGAAAACTAGGCGGAATTAAACAAGAGAGGAGATAATGTTACTGTTGTTTTAGATGGTGGTGGCTGATGGGAGTAGATGACTGTTGTGTAACTGGCCTCATTCAAAGGAGGGTAAACAGGGATCAGTCCTCTGGGAGTGTGTGGGAAGCAGTGGAGAGCAAAAAGAGCAAAAGCTCAGGCCTCACTGTAAGAGTTTGCTTTCTGTGACACATTTAATATACTTAAGCTTCTCCAGGAGTTTTGCTCTTTTGTTTTCCATAAAGCTAACAGTCATTTTATGTTAGCTGACAGAGAGGTCAGAGACACATGTATCATTTTCTAAAAGCTGTCTTCTGTCTCTCTAACAATTCGTCTTGGGTTGGGAATATTATTTTTTGTTTTTTAATCTTTTCCCTTTTCTTTCTTTTAATGAAAGAATAAAATGTACAATTACGGTATCTTCCTCAATTTCTGAATTTTGGGATCAACAGAGGCTGTTATCTCTTTAAAACACACTCTCTGCTGGTCTTTCTTTCTCACACACACACATACACACACATTCACATCCTCTCAGCCATCAAATTCATTCAGACTTGCTGCTGAGATTGGCAGGATTGACAGATAGCCATCAGAGCTTTGTGTGCTTTAATTAAACTACTGAGTGATTTTAGAGAGCATTTGAATATGAATGTTTGCTGCCTGACTCCTATCAGACACTTTTTAATTAGCGCAGTCAGCACAAGCTCCAGTTTGTGCTCTGTGGATGGAATTATAGTAAAGCTAATGAAAAACCAATGAGTGTGTGTGTGTGTGTGTGTGTGTGTGTGTGTGTGTGTGTGTGTGTGTGTGTATGTGTATTTGGACTTCTAATCTGAAAGTGTGTGTGCATAAGAATTTCCTTTTATTCATCTTGCTCTGAAAACAGTTGTTAGTCACTGCACTGTTACAGTGATGTTGAATGACGTGCTATATTAATGAATTTTGTGATATGATTGACAGGTTCACCTATGAGATTGCTCCAGTGTTTGTGTTGATGGAGCAACTGACTCTGAAGAAAATGAGAGAGATGATTGGTTGGCCTGATGGGGAGGGAGATGGAATCTTTTCACCAGGTCAGTCTATAAATAACAGTATCCATATGACAAAGTGAGACATAAACAGAAAGTTAAATGTTGTTATTTTATTATAATATTATGGTAACAACTGTATACACCAAAGTGTGTGTCCAAGGTGCTGATGTGTGTGTCTTTCCTTAACAGGGGGCGCTATCTCCAACATGTACAGTGTGATGATTGCACGTTACAAATATTTCCCCGAGGTCAAAACCAAGGGCATGTCTGCTGCTCCTCGCCTGGTCCTCTTCACATCTGAACACGTATGTGACTGTGAACACACGCGCACACACACACACACACACACACACACACACACACACACACACACACACACACACACACACACACACACACACACACACACACACACACATTCTAGATATTCTAATAAAGCAGGAGTTACGCTTCATTGACTGTAGATTGAGGCCATCGAAGAAGTCCAGTAATAGTCAGAAGGCAATGGCTGGTTTAATGGATTCTTTCTGCTTTCATCTTCTTTTGTCTATAAATAATTGCACAGTTGACAACATGGCAGAAAGCAAGCCAAAGCTCAAATAGCAATTAGCTCACAAAGTCTCCACTGTCCTGAGAATTTAGCTGTTATTTTAATGAAAGATTAAATATATACCTTATGTGTGTCCCTACAGAGCCACTACTCCATAAAGAAGGCTGGAGCTGCTCTTGGCTTTGGTACGGAGAATGTGATCCTGCTGAGCACAGATGAGAGGTGGGGAACTGATCTTATTAAATTTAAAGCAACAGTTAAAGTAAATGTGTAAAACACTGTGTATAAGACATGTTGTATGTGACATAATATGATGCTCTGCGGCCTTTCAGAGGGAGAGTCATTCCTGCGGATCTGGAGGCCAAGATCATTGATGCTAAACAGAAGGTCAGTGTCACTGTTTCTTTTCCTTTCTTTTTGTTTATTGTTTCTTTATTTGCTCTCGCTTCTTAACCCAAAACCCACCCTCTTATTCCCATGTATGTTGATTCTACAGGGTTATGTGCCATTGTTTGTGAATGCCACAGCTGGTTCGACAGTGTACGGTGCATTTGACCCCATCAATGAGATCGCTGACATCTGTGAGAAGTACAACTTGTGGCTCCATGTTGATGTGAGTACTTGACCCTGGAGCAGGCTCTGTAGTAACTTTATAGTAGCAATAGTCATACTATGTCCTTGCCTGCATACCCTTGTCTAAAAGTGCTGTCTCCTCAGGGAGCTTGGGGTGGTGGACTACTGATGTCCAGGAAGCATCGCCATAAGCTTAATGGAGTGGAGAGGTAAGTACATGGAAGCAGATGTGTTGCTCTGTATTGTTATTTAAAGAAAACCATCATATAAACTACCTCAGTACATTTGTGTAAGACCTATATTAAACTTTGCAGGGCCAACTCTGTTACCTGGAACCCTCACAAGATGATGGGTGTGCCTCTACAGTGCTCTGCAATCCTGGTCAGAGAGAAGGTACAGTAAATACACAAACACACACAGTTCCTGCAAGTGGAATATTTCAGGAAGATGTTTAACTTAAACACCTTATTTTGAAGATTTTATTTGTATATTGTGCATTGTACCTGGATTATTGTTATTAATGCAACCTTTCGTAGTACCAACAGCCAGTGAAAGTGCCATGGAAAGAAGAGTGGTGTAAATAAGGTTAACAGTGTTTGTACTTTATGTGTGTCTGTAGGGAATCCTGGCAGGCTGTAACTCCATGTGTGCAGGCTACCTGTTCCAACCAGACAAACAGTACGACGTTACCTACGACACAGGCGACAAAGCAATCCAGTGTGGCCGACACGTTGACATCTTTAAGTTCTGGCTCATGTGGAAGGCCAAGGTGAGATAGAAGGAGACAGATACACACACATATTTATACTGAATAAATTGTTCTTCATCCAACATATACAAGTGTATAAAAGGCAATCAGAACTGTTATGGTGTTATCATAGCAGATGCTTTAGCTTAATACTCAATGTTCTTTGCTGTAATTATTGCCTGACCACCTTTTCCCCCCTGCAGGGCACCATAGGGTTTGAGCAGCACATTGACAAGTGTTTGGACCTGTCTCAGTACCTGTACAACAAGATCAAGAACAGGGAGGGATATGAGATGGTGTTTGATGGAGTGGTGAGCTTCTCTAATATTCTATTACATCTGTTATATCTGATCACTAAGGAAAATTCAAATATTATATTATCATATATATTTAGTATTAACTTTACAAACTGCAAATTAATTATGTTAATTAAAATGTTGAATTCTTCTTAGTCATAGTATTTCTCTTGCTGTCTTTCCTCTAACTCCACCTTTTTTCATTTTATTTTCACTTGGATTAAATGTAAAAAGATACTGAGGTTTGTGTGCGTATTAACTGTGCAGAGCTGAAATGATCAATAGTCAGTTAATCGATTAGTTGTCAACTATTAAACAAATTGCCAACTTTTTTAAATTATGGATTAGTCGTTTTGATTCTGATTTCAGCTTCTCAAATGTGAATGTTTTTCCTGGTTTCTTTAGTCCTCTGTTACAGTAAACAGAATATCTTTGGGTTGGGGGCAAAACAAGACAGTTGAGGATGTCACCTTTGGGCTTTGAGAGTTGCAGCCTTATAACCATTTATGTATTTCTGTCTGCAGCCTCAGCACACCAATGTTTGCTTCTGGTACATCCCACCCAGCCTGAGAGGCATGCCTGCTGGTGAAGAGCGGCGAGAAAAACTCCATAGGGTAATGACATCTGTCATTGACTGTTTACTTCGTCAAACTACACATCACTATAGATGGAAATGAGCAATAAATGTATTGTGCACTGTGTGTTAAATAACAATACAATGAAAAGTAAATTAATTGGTTTCAGATATTTCCACCTATCAGCTTTCATGTTCAGCCTTTCCTTTTTATTCATACAATGAATGATGATTTTATACATGTTACTTATAGCATACTCCCCTCAGGGATAAAAGGCTTTAATTTGTCATTTTATTGACTCCACTAGGTGGCGCCAAAGATCAAGGCCATGATGATGGAGTCAGGGACCACCATGGTGGGCTACCAGCCTCAGGGCAATAAAGTCAACTTCTTCCGTATGGTCGTCTCCAATCCTGCGGCCACCCAGTCGGACATCGACTTCCTCATTGATGAGATTGAGAGGATGGCTCGCGACCTGTAGACCTCTCAGCCATCAAGCAACCTACAGTCTTTATCTGTTGTATTTCCAGGCCAATTGCCATTGAGGTGAAACATTCACAGTGCTGCAGACAGAATAATGATAGACATGTTTTAGGTTCTTTGTATCCAGTCTGTGTTTGCCTGAAGCATTCTGACTGTTTCTCCAACCGAACAGAAACCTGAGTTTCTTACTTGCTCATCCCACATAGTTCCTCCTCTAGATAAAATATATAAGTACTAAGTATCTGAAGGCTCCAGGTACAACAAACATGCTCTAATGTGTGTGTGTGTGTGCTGTGGAATCTTGTAATGTGTGTGTGTGTGTGTGTGTAATCTAGTTTCTTGTCCAATGTAGTTTGTCTATTAATGTCTAAGTATGTGTGCCTGAGTGTGTGTGTGTGTATGTTTGTATGTGGTGAAACACTGAAAGGGAGAAAAGCACAGATCAAAATATAACAAACTATCATGAAATTATTCTGCTGTATCATACATTTGCTACACAAAATTGAATCATTGGTGCTTTCAGCTGTACATTATATTTACTCTCAGTGCACCGACCTATTTGTCCTAAACCAGTGTCCAGACCCCTGAAGCAGTGTGTGTGTGCGTGTGTGCAGGTGTGCATGTGGCACAGAGTGTATCCTGTCCTATATTTTAGGCTAGCAGTATGATAAAAAATAAGCTTATTATAACCTAATGTGCACACCATAGGTACAGAGTGTGTATAGCTGAGAGGTTTCTGATAACCTCTAGCAGCTGGTGTACAGTGTGCAATATTTGCCCTCCTAGAAGTTTAAGATCAATATTGAAATGTCTACAGCTATCCCAGGTCTGTGACAACCTTTAACCTGTAAAACGCTGGCTCGTTGTCTGTTTCATGCAATCATGTGATTACCCTTATGTGTTTATAACATATTTTAACATGTTAAAATATTAATATTTGATTATATAAGAACAAATATTTATTGCATTTCCACTGTTTGCAGATTCAGGTATTTTATTGTAAATGTATCTTTATGTGTATTACATAGTAATACATTTGTAAATGTAATCACAGGAATTTGAGTAAAGATTATTTATAGTGATTTTGTCAGCCAAAGAAAGAGAATCGGGAACAGAGCAATCCATTGTCCTTCATACAGAACCTATAGATTATAGATGTTTGTAAAATGTTACCTATTGACCCTTGACTGCGATGCAATTTCTATAGTGTGTTTCTTTCTGTGATTGTGAGTCTTTTTGACTGAATGTTTTGAGACGACTGACTGGCCTTCTGATGAGATTAAGAATGAAATCTATATGATCCTCTGGTAGTCCTGCCGGTCTTTTATTTTAGAGAAGCACAAGGATGTGAGAATGTACTCTCCTCTAGAGACTGGTAAGAAAGGATTGTTGTATCTGTCTGAATCCTAATGCATTTACTGTAATATAATATATTAATTGTAATACATATTACCTGTATTCTCAGTGTTATGGGAGCTCAATGGAATATCTTATATAAAGAGTTCCTGTTTGTGTCTTTACACAATGTTCACCATTCTTTCTTCCATTGTAAATGGACGTGTACTATGTATTATAAGACTTAAGTTAACAAAGTATTTATAGTATCTAGGGACCATATGTGAATGGCACAATTGCATAAATCATATTTAAGGTAATCTGTGTACTGTATGTGGCCAATGACTCCTGTATTCGACCAATCTGTTTTTTTGATTAAGCCAGCTGTAAGGGGACGTTTCCCAGGAGGTTTTCAGTAGGCACTTTAACAGAATCATACCATCTCAAAAAAGATCTTTAATAAAGTCTATTAAAGGAAAAAGTGAGTCTCACTTATTGAAGCAAACACACACAGTCTATTTCACACTCAACCATTTTCTCTGTGGCTCCACAAACTGCACTCTTCAAAAATGACATTTTATTTTTGTCTGTAATCCCACTCTGCCTCTGAACTGTCAGTAGCGGCACCAACACACACACACACACACACACACACACACACACACACACATACATTATTGCCTCTGCCTAATCATCCTGGAGGAGGCTTTGTTTGCCCCCCAGCTGTGTGTCGGATTGGCTCTCCCATCAGCGCCTTCTCTCCTTTATTTTTCTCCTATATTCCTTTCTGCATTTCTTCTGTCTCATCTCTTTCCTCTCCTCTCTTCTACTCATTTATTCCTTTCTTCCTGGGCATGTGCTCCTCCCTTACTTGTCTCTTTTTCTTAATTTTTTCCCAATCTCTCCTCTCTTCTTGCCTTTCATCAGCTGTGAGTATGATGTGATTCAGCCTCACTAGGCCACCATTCACAGTGAAACAAAGGCATTGGTTACAGCGTTTCATAACCTTTACATGGAGGGCATAAAAATGTGGAGGAGAAGCGTGGCTGTGGAGTGAGGCTCAAGGTACATAGTGAGTTCAGCAATGAGGCTGTACTGTGCTGCCATCGCCCTCTGGTGGTGACTTTCTGTCTGCACAATCATGTGGAAAAAACATAATAACAAGGGTTTTTTCAGACAATATATTCATTATTTTTTTCTTTTACAACAAGTAGAAGATTACATTCTGAAACAAGATAATAAAAACAAAAGCAAACAAACCAAAGGCACAGAACTGCAGCTCAGATTCATATACACACCACCAGAGGAGCAATCAATAAAATCCTTGCAGCACAATGGCAGAGACACCAGGCTCCACATAGTTCAGATAAGGTTCCCAAATTGAATGAGTCTGTTTTTGAATGTAATGTACATATAAGATACTCTAATGTCACTAAATCAAACAGCACTCTCTGTCAACCTTTTCCATTAATCCGCTGCAATAAAATGTTCTGGGAGGCCCATGAGGGGCACTGGGTCCAATATAAGGGGTTTTAAAATCTACAAGGAAAAATCACATTAGTAATCATGATACATATAGAAGGAAGTCCCTATTGGATCGTATATGCATATATGTCAGAACATCATTCTGGTTGAAATAGAGGTAAAGCGTGGAGCGGTAGATAGAAAAGAGACTTCACTGTAAAAAATAACTTTCAACATGTTTATTCTGTAAGGAGTAGGGAGCAACACTATCTGTGGGACAGGAAGTAAAAGGGCTTTGTTGAATATGTGGTGTTAGTTTTGAGTAAAATTTGTGTTAATAACATCATAGTTTCTGTCATGGTCTCATTTTTTACACCAAGATATTACAGTTACATTAATGTCTAAAAGTGATGTAAAAGGTCTGGAATCTAGAATAGAGTTGTGGAGAGGTCATTAGGCTTTGTATGGACTCAATGCTCAATAGCCAACAAGGATGATTTGTTGAGCTGCTAGAGAGAGAGAGAGCATCACTACAGCTCTCACAAGTCAACTGCTGTAAGCTGTACGGACTGATACACACTAAAGATAAATATATAAGAAATGTCAGATATGACTTGAGGTAAACTAGTAGGGCAACAGTATATAATAAGTGTATGTTGAAATTGTGTCACACAAGCTTGCTTCATGGCAAAGAGCAGCTTTGCCCTCTGCCCCATATAGGCTGGGAAATGAAAAGCCTGCCTCATACACTACACTTTCAATGCAACAATAGAAAAGTAGCTTCAGGGGTTTCAGAGTGGTTGCAACCTATTGAATATTCTACATTAATAAACCTACAAGATATTGTGCAAAGCAAGCCTGTTAAAACGTGACCCTTCATGAGCCCAGGGTTGGTTTTACATTGCACACATGTACATGTACATTAATATATATATGCACTGTACATATATAGGCTATGCACGTGAAGAGTAGATTTACACATATCTAATACAACAAAGTACCACAGCCATTTACAGAATATGCTTTATATCATATCATATCTTGTGTGTATATATATGTGTACATATTATATATATATATATATATTATGTATGTATGTATGCACACCTTGCACAGGCTGAATATATGACAAATGTTTACATTATATCAATATTAATGTATAATATCTATGTGTATACATGTATATCTGCTCAGTCATCATATTATATATACATATTATTATTATATTATTATAAATATTATTAATATTATCATTATATACTGTTATTATCATATACTGTTATTAACAATACCACTACCATCATGTCATCAGTACTATTACCACCATCTTGCAACTACAACTCTTTGCACCTTACCTACCTATTTATCTTTTTTTATCTTTTCTATCTAAGTATTTTATTCTATTGTTGTATATTATTGTATTTTAATGTACCTGGCTGCTATGACGACCCAATTTCCCTCTGGGGATTAATAAAGTCTATCTATCTATCTATCTATCTATCTATCTATCTATCTATCTATCTATCTATCTATCTATCTATCTATCTATCTATCTATCTATCTATCTATCTATCTAAATACAGAAGGATATGGCCTGATAGTTCTAACAATATTTAACTTCACATACTGAAAATTAAAAGTTTATGTAAATGTGAATATTTGAGATAATTTGCAATCTGTAGAGTTTAGTTTAGTTGTCACCATACCCAAAATGTTGCTGGTGAATTTTGTTATAAATAGCAGAATTTTCTAAGAGACAGTGGTGCTACAGTACTGAACCAACAGAGCATGAACATTGTCACAATGGACTTGATTAAAGTGTTTGTAAGAGAACTAAATTAGAGTTAGTGTTAAACAAGTTCAGATTTATTAAAAGACTATAGGCAAACTTCAACAAAGCTCTGGCACACAATGGCATTGGAATAATAAAACTGTAACTAAATAAAGTGAATACAAGTTTGTAGGTTTGTCTGTGGTTCTAATGTGTTAGAATATTAGTTTATAATTTCAATGGAGATATTCATTTCTAAATCATTTATAATTGTGATTATTTTATTTATAATAGATGAAGTGATGGGTGGGAAAGGGGAACTGGAGAGTGCCCACAATAATTACGAATAGCCAACTACATTGAAAACCTTTCTGGACCAAACAGTAAATACATCCCCTGTGTTTTAGAAGATGCTGCTTTTAACGCTTCGTGTCAGCTCTACTCTTTGATATTGATGAGCTCTTTGAATTACACAGAAACCGGTTGGAAACTGAACTGCACATTTCGGAAAGGCGTTATTTCCTGCCACGTAACGGCGCATGCGCATCACTCAGCTAGTCATTTGGCGACGTGTACCCGGTGTGTGGAAGTGTTCAGGTGTCTCTGCTCTGCTGGGTAACAAGCTGCCATAAAACCGTAACAGCCTTAAAAGAGAGGGGCCATGGGAGGTTCGCAGAGCGTGGAGATACCGGGAGGAGGCTCCGAGGGCTACCACGTCCTCCGGGTGAGTTTTTAGCCTCTACGGGCTGCTGTTAGCTGTTAGCTTAGCATCTGCTCAGAGGCGGAGTCCCCGTCCTGTGTGTTGACGAGAGGCCGGGGATGACTGCTGGGGCCTTCGTCGGGAAAACACCAACACCATGTCAGAATGCTGTTGTGTGCTTTTGAGATGTGTTAGGGTCTCGTATCCGTCCACGCTATGTTGTCTGTTTATGCCTGCCTGTTGACCAGCTCAGTGTTTTTATCAGAAGCTAACCATCAGTGTTGGAGCTAGCCAAAGCTACGTAGCTGCAGTGAATGACAGCTGCCAAGCTGGTTTTGTTATCGCCACGAAATACTCCTCCTTCTCCTTTGTTTTGGGACATTTGGCCAGAGGCTCTAGTAACCAGCTAGCAGTGGACAGTTAAAGCCAGTCGGCCCATCCTAACTGGAATGATCAGTAACCTTTTAGTGGTAGTAGATAGATGCTCAACTTGACAACAGTGCAGTGTAGCCCATAGAGGGCTTGGTCCCATCCTGCAAGCTACAACCGTTTAGGCTGCATGTACGGTAATAGACATAGACCACAGGGATACTTCACATTCAGACAGGAGATTTGAAAGCCACTGAAGGCCCAGCTCTCCTGTATACTGGTCAGCTCAGGCTCAACCTGTTCAAGCTGTACATGCAGTGACAGTGTGCAGCACACACAGCAGCTCAGCATGCTTCTAATCTTTATGCAGGTTCAGGAGAATTCGCCTGGACACCGTGCAGGACTGGAACCTTTCTTTGACTTTATTGTCTCCATCAACAACACCAGACTGGTAAGGAAAGCCAGAAACTCTGTATAGTCGGACCACATACAAGTCATAGCGGACTGTATGTTTCATGGTTGCTCCTCTTCTCTTCTTCCTTCCCTTTCTACAGAACAAGGACAACGACACCTTGAAAGACTTACTGAAAGCCAGTGTGGAGAAACCAGTTAAGATGCTGGTTTACTCCTCAAAGACCCTGGAGTTGCGGGAGTCGACAGTCACCCCCAGCAACCTGTGGGGGGGCCAGGGCCTGCTCGGTGTCTCCATTCGTTTCTGCAGCTTTGAGGGAGCCAATGAGAATGTTTGGCATGTGCTGGTAAGTAACCCCAAAGTCTAGTTTGTATCGTATTGGTTTGTGTGGTCCAATGGGAGTTTGTTTACATATTCTCTCTCTCTCTCTCTCGCTTTTCTTTACAGGAGGTGGAGCCTAATTCACCAGCAGCCCTCGCTGGCTTGCGGCCGCACACTGATTACATCATTGGAGCCGACACTGTTATGAATGAGGTATTTTATCAGCACTTTTGGTCCTGGAAACTTCTCCACATCATAATGATAATGACAGTGATTGTGTGTGTCTCTCCTGGTTGCCCACCATCTCCACCTTTCTGTGACTTTATCTGCAGTCAGAGGACCTGTTCTCTCTGATAGAGAGCCATGAGGGGAAAGGCCTGAAGCTGTATGTGTACAACACAGACACAGATAACTGCAGAGAGGTGATCATCACACCAAACGGTT